ACATTTATTTTGGATGCGATTAATCACGATTAATCGTTTGACAGCACTATTTAAAATGTGGTATATCTTCTTACTATTAATTTTATACAATTATAAGATGTTAATATCATTTTTAAAAATGTTTCTTTGTAGAAAAAGGTCATTTTTGCATACGTGTGATTTGGTTTTACATTTTATCTTTAATATACATGCAAATGTTTTGATAAATTATGATTCTGCGTGACATTGTTTGCTCACAGATTACAAACAGACAATGAATGAGACCCATTAATGTGAAAACGGCTAATGTGGCTCTTAAATCTGTATCAGTCTGTCCCCTAGTGGTTAGCTTGCAAATGACCAAAACTGCTTTACCTTAACAATGTTAACATTGTTGTTGACTAATGAGTCAGCTGACAGCAGTTCTGTGTGTTCAGATACAGTGAGGAGAAGGGCTGGGAGCTTCTCTGGCTCTGCACTGGGCTTTTTCCTCCCAGTAACATGTTGCTTCCTCATGTCCAAAAGTTCCTGCAATCCAAGAAACATCATCCAGTCGCCCCAGACTGCATGCAGAGACTGCAGAAAGCCTTGCGGTAACTCTCACAGGCAGCACATACAAACATCTATCTCCAATGCTGCATGGAATTCCCTTAAAACATTTTTTCCTCACGGACAGAAATGGATCCAGAAAGTATCCTCCTCACCTTGTAGAAGTGGAGGCCATTCAACACAAAACGACCCAGATCTTTCACAAAGTGTACTTCCCTGATGACACTGATGAGGTGAGAGTTTTCATGTTAACTCTAGGCGAGCGTCTGTTACTTGTAGTGTACGTTGTATCCAGCCTCCTGTGGGGGTGATATTCTCTTTCTCTCTCATGCCCGGCTGTGTTTATTTATGCTTGAGGAAACAGAGAGAACGCCCCATTGTGCTCTGACCTCATTTGAATCCTCAATTAAGCACAGAGTTATGTGGTGCTTCTGGAGAAAACGGCAGAAAAGAGATGAAGTGTGAATAGACTCAAGACTCCAGAGATTCATTTCCTTTTTGTTTTAAATATAGCTTAAATCTGGCCTGCATTTTTTTAGTTACAAACACCAAATACATATGTATATAGAAATCTGTGAATTGTAGATAATAACATTAAATTGTAATATTCTGAAAGTATAACATTTTTTAATTGTTTACTATATAACATTTATTTTCCTATATTATATTAAAATATTAAAATTACATTATATATATATATATATATATATATAGAGAGAGAGAGAGAGAGAGAGAGAGATTATTTAATATTATATATAGTTATACTGTATATATATTTTTCCAGAATTTCTTTCAATCATGTCTATGATATAAAAGAAAAAGTATATATAAATAGATCATTTGTTTATGTTTAATTCAAATCGTTAAATTGTTATGGCAATATAATGTGCATTAGAAGCATTGACACCAGGGGCCCGTTCTTCGTACGTCGCTTATTACATCCGAGATGAAAAGTCACATCCAAGATGATATCATCGCGGGAAACAGCCAAGCGAACAAAACTACATAAATGTTATAATAGATAAATGAAATGTGCACAGTTTTTATTTTATTTAAATTTTTTACATGATTCCCAATTATTTATATTCACGATTTCTAATATTTTACATTTTTATTTCAATGTAATTAGCAATTCATTTAATTTTATATTTGAACACATTTGTTACTTGACAGCATTAACTGGCTGTGTCTGTAGTATTAAAGACCACACAACATTATTATATTATCTTTAAATACATTTTTAAATGGATTATTATTTTAAATTATTGTCCCTGGATTAGTAGGGTACTCTTGTAATAAAGTAGCGTTGGTAACGGACAGATTTTAAGTATCAATTCTGCTTAAAAAGATGCCATCTAATCCTGTTTACATGAAATAAACCTGCTCCCGAGCAGGTTTAAGCTTACGGACCTGTTGCTATGACAGCAACTCCGGGGTGAGCTTCGAAAGAACCAAACAATCAAAGATCATGCCAAATCATCAACAATCAAATCCAGCTAACTGAGTTAGCGACGTACGAAGAACGGGCCCCAGGTTTATTTTAGTATCAACGATAGTTTTGTTAATATATTGAATTAGATTTTATTTTTAAATGTTCTGTTTTCACTTTAATTTTTGTTTGTTTTAGTAATTTTTTTTTTAAGTTTTGTTTTAATATGCCTATATTGTAATTAATTTGTATTTATTAATTTTAGTTTATTTAGTTTTTATTATTTAAGTACTTTATTATTTTTATTATTTTAGTACTAGTACTAAACTAAAAATGGGAAATGCTGCCTTTGCAACTACCTGAAATAAAATAAGTTAAAGCTTTTTATATTTTAATTTATTTCAGTAAGGTTAATTTTGGTTCAAGTAAAGAAAACGTTGTTTTACCTGATTTACACAAGTAGTCTCAGGCTTTTTGCCCCCTACTGTTTGTATACGTGCTCAAATGTACTCCCCACATAACACACTGTGCGTCTAATAGTGTCTTTTTATTTATGTATTTATTTATGAATAGGCTTTTGAAGTTGAATCAAGCACAAAAGCCAAAGATTTCTGTCTGAACATCACTGGCAGAATGATGCTCCAATCTTATGAAGGCTTCAGCTTGTTTGTCAAAATTTCTGACAAGGTGAGGCTACAGAGCTGTCAAATGTCTGTTCAGTTGAGATGAAGGTGTTCTGTATGAGGTTATGACACACTAAATAACCCAGGAGGTGATTTTTATGTTACAGCTTTCTCCTGAGAGTTTCTTACAACACATGTCCTGTAGTCAGCAGTTAGTTGTCAGTATGTGTGTGTATTTTAATGTAAGATGTCTTATTTGATATGTCAATATTGGGTTAAACGTTTCAGGTGATCAAGTGTGCCAGAAAGAAGGAGATTTCTTCTTTGACTTTGTTCGACATCTGACAGACTGGATTAAAAAAGCCAGAACTGTGAAAGATGGTGATTATGTGTATTGTTCATTAAAATTATCAATATATTGAGTGTAGACACGAGAGGCCTTAATGATTCTGTTGGTTTTGTAGGCACAGTGCCTTCACTGACCTACCAAGTGTTTTTCATGAAGAAACTGTGGACCAACACCATTCCAGGCAAAGATCCCATGGCTGACTCCATTTTCCATTACTTCCAGGTGCAAAACTCTCTCTTTGTACTCAATCTGTGAATTCAAGCTCCCTTTTAAACACTTTGTTTGACACCTCCATTATACTAAACTGTCTTTAGGAGCTCCCAAAGTATCTGCGGTGCTACCACAAGTGCTCTCTTGAAGAGGCGTTCCAGCTGGCTGCGCTCATTTACAGGGTGAGGTTTGAAGAGGACAAATCACAGTTTCATAACTTCACCAAGATGCTGAAGGAGCTGGTCCCTCAGGAAATGATCCATCAGCTGTCACCCGATGACTGGAAACGGGTGAGTGCGCAACACTAGTCCTGCTCCATACATCCATCCATTTATGACAAGTGAATGCAGTGAAGGGTGCCTTTGTTTCTTCTACAGCCTGTCGTTACGTACTTCAATAAGCATTCAGGGAAATCTCGAGAGGAAGCAAAACTGATGTTTCTGGAAATCATTTACAAGTGGCCTACTTTTGGATCTGCATTTTTTGAAGTCAAGGCAAGTTTGTTGAATTAACTAAATACTGAGCAAACAAAATTACCTTGTCCTCGATTCTAGAATTTGATTTCTTATGTTGTGTAAAACGCACTGACAGTGTGGTTTAATGATGTTTGATTTTGTCCCACAGCAATCCTCAGATCCAAATTTCCCAGAAGTCCTCTTGATAGCTATCAACAAGCATGGTGTTACTCTCATTGACCCAAAAACAAAGGTATGTTTACACAGAACAATGTATGTAAATGGCAGATTTAATATATTGTAATTTTAGCCTAAATGTGCACTACTGTTGAAGTTTCCAAGGCTGGTTGGTAATATTGTAAAATATTATTAAAAACAGTTTAAAATAACTGTTCCCTTTCAGTCGGTCACTCTCGATCTCACGTCGGATGACCAACAAATTGGGATCTCGCTTAGAGAGACCAATCTACTTCGAGTGTAAACTAAACGAGCCAATGCACATTGGCATGCGATTATTGCATCCAGCTGCCGCTGATCACAGTGTGAGTATAAGTAGGCAGCAGATGCAGCGCATCTTCGAAGCCGAGCGATCACATCGTTCTGCTCCTGACCACTCTAAAAGAGGAAGAAGACTGAACGAGTTCAGCGCGCTCTTTGAGAGCTCTTCGTGTTGGCGGTACGGCGCTTCAGCGGTGGTGGTTTCCTGTGTAGAGTGGGTTGCTCACATCAGGCTGCACTACCCCCTTTTTGTGTTGCAGGTGGCCATCTCCCCTGTGCGCCTCAGCACGCTAAAAGAGATATTTCCCTAAAAGCGCAATTACGGGTGCGTTTTTTTAAAGACGACGTTGCGTGGCAAACTTGACGGCATGCTGAGGTGGCGACGATGTGGGTCTTGCTATAGACAACGTATCACCCGGATGTTTCTGGATGCGGCCGTTACCTGGCGCTGGGTGATGGTCACGATCGCTGCCTCACGTGTCTGGGCATTAAACACGCTGAAGTGGCGTTCGTCACGTGCCTGGGCATCTAGCACGCTGAGGTGGCGTTTGTGGATGAGTCATGTTCTCATTGCGGGAAGATGTTCATCTCGGAGTCGCGGGCTAAGCTTCGTTTCCTCAAAGGGGTGGAGTTCCGTTGCCTCTGCCTCGATCTAGTTCTCGTCATGGCAGCAGTCAGGCAGGGCCTACTTCAGGCAGTAGCACGGGCTGTCTGAGGGTGACAGTGGTGGCAAACCCTCCAGGGAACCAATCCTCGGGGGACCATCGCTCCTCTTGCACTCCGCAACCAGTTGAGCTGCCAAAGGAACATGTTGGGCCCTCTACAAGGAGCGTACCAGCAGTATCCTTCGGCACTCCTCCCGACGATCAGATGTTGATCGCTGCATCGGAGGGTGAGCCGGAGCTTTCTGGAGAGGAAGATTCTGCTGCGCTGCTGCCTTCTGGGACTGTATCAATGACTGAATCGGATCAGGAAATGACGGCTATGCTTTCCCGGACCGCCGTGAGGGTAGGGCTCAAGTGGAGACCTCCACCGTGTCCCGAGCCCTCAAGGTTGTACGATTGGCAAAGCTGCGCCGTGGAGCCGGTCGCAGGGCAGCCGCCCCGCCCGTCCAGGCCCCCGCCAAACCTGGAGGCAAGCGAAAGAGCAAGAGGCCCTGAGACAATACCCACGCACCCTCTGCTCGAACGCAGGTCAGTGTTACACACACTCAGACCCCGCCTCGGACCGGCTACGAGATGCCTGGGCCGGGTCCCTGCGTTCTTTCTCGCTGCCCCACTGCGGGTATGCCTGTAGTTCCGTTGGTACATATCAGTACGAGGTCCTGCCCTCCGAGCTGTCCCTGTCGCCCCGGGTCGTCATGTAAGTTGCGGAGGCATCCCTTGTTTAGGTGACCTACCCCAAGAGGTAGTTGACACCATCACTTCAGCGAGAGCACCATCTACGAGACACGCTTACGCTTCGAAGTGGAACCTACCTGTTCGTTGAGTGGTGTTCTTCTCACCGAGAAGACCCCCGAAGATGCCCGATCAGTCGTGCTGACCTTTTTTCAGCAAGGGTTGGAGCAAAGGCTGTCTCCCTCCACCCTCAAAGTCTATGTTGCTGCAATCCCTTTGCAGACAGTCGAGCTGAAGTTTCTGTCAATTAAAACTCTACTCCTGCTTGCACTGGCCTCCATCAAGAGGGTAGGGGACCTGCACACGTTTTCGGTCGACGATTCGTGCCTAGAGTTCGGGCTGGCCAACTCCCAGGTAACTGTGAGGCCCCGGTTCAGCTATGTGCCCAAGGTTCCCACTACTCCCTTCAGGGATCAGGTGGTGAGCCTGCAAGCGCTGCCCCCGGAGGA